CATATCATTGTCGGAAAATTCTACTACCAGTCCTTCATCACCTTACACGAAATAGGGTGAATACATCTCAATACATCTATAAGCCTGTTCATTTTACCCTGTTTTACGATTCTTCCCACCTAATTCTCCTTATTATCTCGCTCCTGCTAATTTAGGTTTGGGTTCTAACAGGTGACAAGGAAGAGACGGCCATCAACATCAGCTACATGGCGGGACATTTCTTTCCCGGCATCCAAGAAGCACGTGTGACAAAGCACACCGAACTGGCCTCAGTGCAGCGGACCCTGGCGTGGCAGTTAGAGCGAATCGAGGAGTCGAATAAGGTGTTGCAAAATCCCTCTTTTGGACTCGTCATAGATGGACAGTCACTTGCATTCGCTTTGCAGGTAAGACCTTGGAATATTCCCATCGCATTTATATTGGCTTCCTATTAAACTGTGCAGCTCCCAGGATGTAAAGGTTGTTCCTACGGTGTAGAAATAGTTTATCACACGTGAGAGAGTTGAGTGGGCCTTGTATACAAGGTGACCAGCACCAATGGCGTATATGCGATAGATTCGAATAATCATGCTGAAGGTAACAACATAAATTTAGAGAAATAAGAAAAGACGATAAACGCACATCCCGTTGGTTATATTCCGTTTAATAAGAATCCATTAACTTCCTAGGGCTCACAAGGATCGGTGTTAGAAGAATCTCTTTATTCACAAGCGTTGAGCTCATGTCCATTACGAGGAAAAATGTGGGATAAAGAGATTCGAGGGTTGGTACCACCTGAATATTACAGCGGATTACTTTTTGCCAACTGACATTTGGCTTTATTGGAACCTTCTGGTCGTCACCGTGCTCGAGATAATCTCTTTAAATTTAGGCTAAAACGTTAGCTTCCCTCCGGCATGCTACTCGATAGGCAGTATCAGGACAGAAGATCATTTTTACAATCCACTCAAAAAAACTTTACATCCTATATCTACATGCTATATATATTTATATATTTATTTAATCACACATACATTTATTTATTTATATGCATTTTTGTGAGGGATACAGTGACATGCTCAGTTAATAGCATGCAGCACTATCTGAGCATGTGCTTACGCAATGGTAAGAAATTAGCGCTGATAGCTCTTAGTAATTATAACAGAGTGTAGCTTCGGTCCTAGGATTTCACGACTCACTGATCATATTTTTGACCAATACATAATTATAATTGATAATTAAACCTGGTGGCTGAGAAAAATGGATGGAGAAGTGCCCTATAGGCAGGTAGCTTTAAATAAGCAAGTCGGATATGTTGATTTCGAAATAGCGAATGGTTTTACCCTGACACTAATCATTACGCAAAAGTGGGACTTTTCCCAACTCGATTTTGATATTCTGGGCCAGCACCCGCTTGAGTACAGGCCCTTCTATCCAAATAGCAAACTTCAAATAAGTATATGACTCAACTTTTCAATGTGAAGCAAAAGTCGGTTTGACGCATGGAAAACCGAAG